GTTCAGAGGTGTGCTGCCCCAACCCTGGACTGCAAAAGCCTCTTCATAGCGTGCGATACCTACAGGGCCGGTCAAGAGACTCTTTCACAAGAATACCATCAATAATCAATATTGAAAGAGTCTAAATATTGACGCTGAGTGCGTGCTGCACGGACAGCACGTCCTCAACCCTGGCGATCTCAGATGGCTGCTCGATGTAAAGAGATGTGCCCATCAAGGAGGGGCACCCACGCTGTGCAGCAAATTGACACCCCAATTCTGTCGCTTGTGGCACATTTGATTGATACACATCGCGTGCGTGTACCATAGCGTGGGTGCCGGCAAGATAAGGGCATCACCTTTGCGCCATCTGATGTGACATGCCGTGTGTCTTTATGCAGCGACCAAGAAGTGCGATGATGCTGAGAAGAATCTTGTAGCAATTCTTCCACGTTCAACATTCTATGTGAGTGGATTTCGACACCGACATCGTAGAGAAACAGCAAGAACGAGCCAGGCTGCTCAATGACAGATGGGGTTAATAATATTATAAGATAGGCTCAGGGGATTTATTTTCTTGCCCTCCACCGCCACTACCTTGTGGCGGTCAGCAGCAGTGCTCTGTCTTCAAGCAGAAGTGCTCCATCCCACTGGCCACTTCAGATTCGAAGGTTGAGCATGTGAGGCAACCGGGAGCAAAATTACCTTACAGATTGTTACATGCATGATATCTGGTTACCGTCATGATTGTTGCGCACATGTGCAGAGAGGGACAAGTGAGTGACTAATATTAGTTGCGTAGAGCGCATGGATGTGCAACGCCTTGTAGTGAGGCAGACTTGGTCACAACCTACTACAGTCCTCATTGCAATATCAAATTTAGGACATAAAAAAAATTGATGCTACATTTGCGTCATGCTCACACGCCAATTCTGACTAAGCTTGAAACTGACTTAGCTTGAAAGTGCAAAGATCACATTGCAAGTCACTCTCCAGCCGCCGGTGGGCGCCTCAGAAAGCGAAGGCACCTCTCGGGAACTGCCACCATCTGATTGCCCCCAATTGCTTCCAAGGGTGTTCTGCCTGCTCTGACTTCATCTGTGTCGCTCAACCATGCCTTCTGGTGTCCAGCCCCAGTTGCGTCTGTGATGGTGAGCCCGCAAATAACACCAAACCCCTCAAGCTCAGCACCGTGGAACCGTGTGCCAGGCCCAATATGCACCACCTCTGCCGTCCCCACTATCCTCCTGTCATCTGTTAGGACATAGACTGTGTCATCTGGCAGAATCTGCACGTCACTGTGCGCGCTCGAATGGCCTCTGGCTTGCGGCGAGGGGTTCAGCTGACATGCCAGCCCTGCGATGACACCCATTGCAGCTTCCATGTTGATCCCAGGGGAGGAAACTTCCAGGGACGGTCGACCTGCGCGCACCAACACACAGCTGCTTACAATCCGCGATTATTACCGCATTCAAGCAATATCTTCCCTAGTGTCTTGCTAGGATGTCAAGCTCAAATTTATTCCTGTTGTTAGTATTACCCAGATGACCCTTAGGTGCGGCACTCTACCACATCATATGTAGCAGGGTGCGTGAGTGACAGGCATGACTCAGGCAAAGGGGCAAGCACAGCATGTGGAGCAGGGTGCGTGAAAGACAGGCATGGCTCAGGCAAAGGGGCAAGCAGACACTTCAGCATTGAGAGACAAGACATGAACAAATCAACTACACCAGCGTATGAGAGCAGTCAGTTGACAAGTTCACAGGAATGACAGAGCAGGATTTTGTACATGCCTGCTGGGCCATCTGCAGAGCGGTAGGAGGAAGCTGGCTCCTCATCGGCAGCGAGCTCCAGAGCAGGATCAAAGAAGACCATGGCGCCAGACAGCGGTGACTGCTCCAAGGCTGACTGCGACTGCTCCGCTGCCGTAGCACTCCCACCTAGACAACACATGCCTGTCGTCAGCTTATTGCTGACAATTACCTGTCGATAAACCTTCGGGGTATGATTCGCATGGCATTATAACTTAGAAACTCACTGTGAGTGGAATCATATAAGCCAGGACAAAGAGAGCCATGATGGCTCCTCACCTTCTCCGGCGCGCGCCGCATTCTGCTCCTCAGCCAGCAACATTGCCAGCGCCACACCAGTTGCAGCCTCTTCGACGTTCATGGGCGAGCTCCCGGCAGCGCCTCCGAGAGCCACCTTCAGCCGTTTTGGATGACAGAGGGCCGCTGCAATGTGCCGGTAGTCGATCACCAGCACAGCCATTTTGGCCGGCGATGCGGCATGCCCCTGCATGCTCAGCCGCACGTTGGGGACTGGCACAGGCTGCGGCGACTCATCTGCCAGCAAGCAGCCGTGCAACGGCGACTGGCTCGCACAAGCTGTGGGCTGCGGCGGCACTTCGCTGGCCTCAGGCAGGACACCCTCTGCCTGCCCTTCTGGCTCTGCTGGGTCACTGTGCTGCTGCGCTGGCTGGTCATCCGCATCTGACTCAGAGAAGAGGTTCCCAACCTCGTCTTCGTCGCCCTCAGTGGGGGGACCCCAAAACTCTGCGGCTCTGGCGGTTGGGCGCCTGAGCCTGCCTCGGCTGCCCCTTCTGGGCCGATTGCTGCCACGCGCCCCGCCTGTGCCGCGGCGGCCACGCTTCCTGCCCCGACCCCGCCCATGCCCTTCCTGCACGCCCCCACCGGTGGCTGCCTCTCCTGCACCCCGTCCCTCCACATCTGCGCGTGCCCCACCGCCTTCCCCTGCCACCGCTGCCTCGGGCTCCCCCTGGCTATCTGTCTGCACGCGCGCCTCGAGGAACCATATCTCCATATGCAGCTGGGTGCCATCGCTGCCTGGCTGCACAGCGCGCACCAAACCAACAGGAGCCTTGGCAGCACGACCCAACTGGGACAAGTTGCGTGCTGGGAACTCCCCGTCGCGGTGCAGCGTGCTTGTGACGGCCCAGAGAGCGACACCAATCGAGGGAGTGCTCTCCCCCAACTGCGGCAGGTAGTGGCACTTGTCGAAGGTCCAGAGCAACTCGTCAATCTGCTTGAGTTTGACCACGGGCAGGCCGCTGCTCACTCCTGCAAACATGTGAGCGCCTCAATTGACTGGCTATCATTCCCTTCCATCAAATCTGCAGAAGTTAAAGCCTTCTCGGGTGTGCAACAGTCACCAGGTGATCAGAGCTTCCAGCTGAGAGCGCCCACTCACCCTTGTTAACAATGGACTTGGCCGCTTCCATCTGAAGCTGTGACTTCTTCGGCGCCTGTAACAACAATAACTTACAATCAGTGTGTTCAGCCAAACTCGCTTTCACTGCACCAGCAGCTTGACAGATGAGAGGCGTTCACAAAGCACATGCAAACATAAGGATCCTCAACAAGATGCCCACCTTCTGCCTTGCTGGTCTTTGCCGTGCCGGTTGGGCTGCGGCCTCAACAGCGGCTGTGATCTCTTCAACCGCCGCCGCACTCGGCTCCAGTCCACCTGCATGACAGCATCCATTAGCTGCCAGCGCATAAGATGTCCAGAGGAAATGGTGAGGACATGTTATTAATTTGCCAGGCATAAGATGTGTAGGCGCTGATCGTTACAGCCATCATGGATAGCTACCTTCTGGATGCTCAAATCTAAGCAGCCCTTCCACCCTGGCGAGCAGCGCGCTTCTGGTGAAGATCACTGGCCGCTGGCCTCTGTCAAGCAGGAACCGCTTCAGCTCTGCAACGGTGGATGAGGCCTTGAGGCTGAACGCAAGCCACCGTTGGACGATGTCCTGCTCGGCTCCCTGAGCGCTGAGCTGCCTGCGGCTGATCCCTGGCTGTGGCGCTTGCGAAGGTCCTGCAGCTTCTGCCTCTGGGGCTGCGGGACCCTGCATGCCGCCTGCTGCAGCTGTGGCGCCCCTCTGCGCCTGTCCTTGGGCTGTCTGGCCTGCCTGAAGTCCACTGGCCTGGAGATACGAGGCTGCCATCACTGTCCTGTTCAGGTTGGGCACTGCTGCCAGCAATCTGCTGGCGCTCTTGCTGAAGCTGACTTTCTGATTGAGGTGTCTCGTTGCAAAGATGGCGGTCGAAGTCGTCCCATTGTCTTCGAGGCGAGCCTGCTGACCACCAATGATGCCTCGAATCTTGCTTGATCGCCTATCGGCTCTCTTCCTCTCCAAGTCGCCGGTCTCTGCCTCTGAACGCAACGCAAAAGTCAGAGTTAGTTACTCTGTGTCAAGGTCATGGGGAGATTCAAAACATAGGTGTTCCCAACCTTCAAAGATGGAGTGCTTATTGAGACCTACCAATCACTCCTTGATGCATGATAAAATTCAACTTATCCTCATTGAGATCCTTGCCCCTGGTTTGGGCTGCAATGACGCAGTCCTCACAGCATTTGTGGGTAATATTTCTGAGCTCTGGATACTTTTCGCTCTCAATCTTCCCGCGAATAGAATAGTAGCCATTAGCTCTGGACAATGCTGAAGGTTCATCTCGGCCAAGGCAGCTCTGATGGAAATATCTGACCCCTGAGTCCACGGCATTGCAACGTTGCAATGGCACCCTTGCCTCTTGTTTGAAGACCCAGTCGGCAACAGCGTCGTGGCCGTATTCGTCCTTTGTCAGACCTTCTGAATAGAATCTGATAATATAATCACAACCTACACAGCGAGTCAAGCGTTCTGAACTTGCGCAGTTCGGATGAAGCTTCTCCTTGTCACTGCCACACTTGTAACACGGGATCCTAGCAATAATAAGTGACATGCTCGGTACAGAAACACATCACTGATCATTCTCCATGCTTACTGACGAAAGGCCTAATTTTTATTACCAAAATGACATGCTATGGAATGTGTTACCAGGTGGCATGGCCCCTGATTGCCAATAATCCACCACATTAGTAGCGTTTACATCCACTAAAGTAGTGGATTTTGATTACTCGGGTGCCCTGTCACTCGATACTCGTTCCACCGTTTACGACATTTCGAAGACAGCCAAAAGGCGATCTGAACATAAATGACACCATAGAAAAAGTTTTTTCAGCCATCGGTGTACAAGTGTACTCAAGAGCTATCGCAGTCATGCCTGGAAAAAGGGAAGTGACGGTGGCATGCACACAGATCTCGTGCAGCTGGGACAAGGGAGACAATTTGGTGCGAGCACTTCTAGATCGGAACTGTCGAAATTCTAGAATCTATTCAATGTTGTTGCACCACATTCTACTTTGTTACAACCGAGTTCATGTATTCTCTGCCCTGATGGCGATGTCTGACTAGGCTAGACCCATACGATGTTAGTCCCTGTTGACGCAAGAAGCCTTTGATGGATGGAGTAATTCCTTATTCTCGGCAGTGAAGGCCAAGTATTCATCTATTGTGCAGGCAAAAGCAGAGAGGCTGGTCCGGGAAGCAGCAGGTGCAGGAGCAAATATCATCTTGCTGCAGGCAAGCTTCTGCGTGCGCATCTTCAAATTAATACACTCATTCTTTGATAGAATGGAGGCTCCTCATCACATAGTGTCGCCCATCTGCCCTACGCAAGCCTCTCAAGTAAATGAAGGCACAGGATCCCGACTTGATCTGTCTCTGCAGGAGCTATTCGAGACGCCCTACTTCTGCCAGGACCAGAAGCAGGAGCTCTTCGAGCTGGCACGCCCCTTTGAGGGCAACCCAGTGCTGCGGAGATTCGCTGACCTGGCAAAGGAGCTCCAGGTGGCATTGCCTATCAGCTACTTTGAACGCGCCAATAACAGCTTCTTCAACTCTCTTGCGGTCTTCGATGCCGACGGCACCTGCGCTGGCCGCTACAGAAAGTCCCACATCCCAGACGGCTGCGGGTAAGTCACTCCACCTGCTTTATTTCATCCTGACTTCCCCTGGCATTATTTATTAAGGACATGCGTACCGTATATTACGTATCACAGTACATGATCCTCCTGCGGGGATACGGCCGCTGGTGCAACAATGCCAGGCTGGCGGCCATGACTATCTCCTCCTCGGTTTCCTTAGCAGTGCTGCATTGCTTGTCCTCTTATGTCTTGTGTTCTTTGCAACATCCTGCAGCGCGCAGTGCTCTTGGACTTGTAACTTTGTGGTTATGTCTTCCAAGGAAGAAAGGCTAGCTGCGCATTGCAAGGGGGCTGTTATGTGAAAACAGAATTCAGGGCTGATGTGGCGCCGATGTGGCAGGTATCAGGAGAAATTTTACTTCAACCCGGGCGACACAGGCTTCCAGACATTCCAGACCAGGTTTGCCAAGATTGGCGTGGCCATCTGCTGGGACCAGTGGTTCCCTGAGGCTGCCAGGTGTATGGCCCTCATGGGAGCAGAGGTGACATCTCACTCCTTACCTATCCCACAATGCAAAATCCAAGTGTCCTGGCCTTGCCATGCTCTGGGAGAAGGTTGGTGGAATCCTGAACATGTTGACAGAGCAGGGGGTTGGCCCATGACACATACTACAGTGGTGGCACACTTCCACCACGTGCTCTCAATGGGTCCTCCCTTTGCCCTGTTCGCTGGTCTCTGTGATGATCTGTTTTCACCACAAAGGGGCCATAGGGTACACACTATAAATTTACTGCAATGCGGAGTGGGTTATGGACATGTCCACCGTATGCATGGATGGATGATGCACGTCTTTGTGATGACTAAGATCGTTCAAAACGTCTTGGCAGGTGTTGTTCTACCCGACAGCCATCGGGAGCGAGCCCCAGGACCCGAGCTTGAATTCGTACCCGCACTGGACCCGCGTAATGTGCGGGCACGCCGGCGCAAACCTGGTGAGGCCTTTGCTGTTAGCAAATATTGAATTCATGCCATGACTTTCTCTCTTTTCAAGCATCATTCTTGCCAGAGGGCGGTTATTCAGCACGGCACACAAAGTTCGGTCCCTGCGCTGCCTCATGGGAGCCCATGGCAAAGAACTGTCCTCTGTCAGCAGCGGTGTCATTTTTGGGCTGTACAGTCAACGTTTTGGCAGATGCAATTGTTGTTCTGCAGCTCAACGTGGTCTCGGCAGTGAGTCCAGCAATCCAATCCAATCCAATCCAATTTGTTGCGGGGTGACTAAGACCAACCAGCAGGATGGGGTCTGTGCCTATTGAAGTGCTGTCGACACCATATGAGAGCTGCAAAAAAGTTGCTGCATGGTGTTTCAAAGGGATTGATGCTTCCCTGTGCATGCTGATTGTCCAGGTTCTGCGGTGGCTGCACTGCTGACTCTGCAAAAATAGCTGATGTGGCGCATGTTTTCCTCAGGAGATGCTGGATCTGGCTGCATGCAGGTGCCTCTGGTGGCATCCAACAGGATAGGGGAAGAGAAGGCTGAGTCAGGCAGCATTACTTTCTACGGCGGGTCCTTCATTGCCGGTCCGACAGGAGAGATCAAAGCACAGGCATCACCTCCTTTGCCATCCTGCTAATTGACCATTGCTATTGTATTCCGACTGACTTTACTTCAGTTGACATTCAAACACAGCTCATGTGATGCAGATGCCAGCGCATTGCAGCCAGCTCATGCAGGCATGCATGCATGCATGCTGGTCGATTGCATGTACAAGATACCTTCTGAACAGGCTATGGGAGGATTAAAAGAAGCTAGCAAAATCATTTTTCAGCAGGAGCCGAAGCAAGGTGTGCATGTGTGTGTGCAGATTGGAAAGAAGACAGAAGGGGAGTTGATTGACCTGACCCCTGACAGGAAGGAGGGCTTCGCAGTGGCCACCTTTGACTTGGAAGCCATCAGATGGCAACGCGCCAGGTGTGCTTTTCCTATTGACCCTTAGTAACCCTCTACTTTTTTCTCTGCTGTCTCTGGGGTTGCTGTGAGCACGTTCAATCATTATTATTTGCTGTTGTCGTTGTTGTTGTTGTTGTTGCACCGTTTCCAGTCCGTAAGGACTAGGTATGTCAAGCAACACCTGGATTATTATTCTCCAGTCTTCTCGATTCTTGCACATCCTCCACCAGTCATATGCATGCCCGATAGCATCAAGGTCATCTCTCACACAGTCATTCAGGTTCAATAGTCCTGCACTATTAGAGCTGCAAGATTCCTGCAGATTTGACCAAACTGAGAACCATGCATGTGTTCTGCAAGTCTGTGCATGTGCGCATGCAGCATTGCAGGGGCATTATTCTTTGCAGTGCAGTGCAAAGTCTGCATGCATGCTTGCAAGCAATTGAAAGCGATTAGATAATGAGCAAATGAAGAGCCGTCAAAGAGCATGCTTAGGCGAGCAACTGAAAGAGCATATGTAGTCAGGTGAGGGGGGAATGTGGAGCTTGCCTGATGGCAACTTCGTTCAGGTAACCCAGCTGCTCACTCAGTTTCTCATTGCGCCGACGCAAGGATGCTAAATTGCGTTGCAAGACATCCACTTGTCGCGACAAGACCGCTGTGTCTTCTTTGCGCATTGTGATAGCTTCGTTGACCTTGTCTGTCAAAGCCTGGACCTGCATGTATCAGCCAGTCCACATTTGGTAGCAGAAAATGACTGGCAAGCACTTGCCAATTATTTGCAAAAAAAACAATGTGCAAGATACGCATCAGGCGGTGTCAAGCACTAGAAGACGTGCTGTGCCCTCTAAACCGCGTCACTTGCTCTCTGAGCGGACATACCTCTGGATTTTTGAATAGATTGCCCCACAGTTTCGACAGAAATCCAAATCCCGTAAGGCTGCGAACACCCACGCCCAATCGAGTTGACATGCTGACCAGATCCGGCGTCCATCCTGGGGTCGCAACAGCGCTGAACACAACTTTTCGCAGTGCAAGCGCCATGTAATGACCTAGCAGCTATTCTTTCCGCTTCAGCCATGTGGCATGAGGCTAGATGGCCTCAAATTTTCTATTGATGATCTGTACCGATCCTGCAAGGGCGAACACTGTGACCTGTGAATGTGTGCTTCCGACACTCAGATATCCACAACACTGATCACTGTTTGGATCTGCTGCGAGACTGGAGTCATAACGCCCGACAGAACTCTGTGCACGTGATATCAGGTGCCTGAAATCAAGGCGTGACTCAGCATCCTACTCTGTCGGGCAAAATCCACTACTTTAGTGGACATGCACTCCACTACATTAGTGGATTTGGCTCTCTTTCTGAGCACGCCCCTTCGGGGCGTGCAATAACAAAAGCAATGCTGCACATCCTTCAGATTTACCTACAACAATCTCAGCATTGCATAGTACCTCCGTCAAGCTAATTATTTCGGTCAAGCCTGTATCTATAGGATCGTGCGCTACTCGTTTCTGCGAAGACAGCAATGCCATTTGCCAGGTTACCGTTGCAAAGTAGGATTTGAAAGGGGGGTGGGACGGCCGCAAATGTTTATGGGAGTAATTTAAACGAATTCTTGAAGTCTTCTGTCGCTGGCCATGTGAGGTTCGCACTTTTGCCGGTTTTTTGGCATCCCCATCCTTGACTTGTTTGGACTCAGCTAATCGAATGTCACGACCATCGACGTGCATGTCTACTTCTTTCGTAGTGACTGCATGCCCTGCCAAGCCAATTCCTTGAAATGAAATGCGTGCAGGCAACACAGAGCGTTCACCTGAATTGAGCACTGATGCACCGGACAGACACTGAAGTCGTCTACAATCTAAACCAACATCAAGTTCAATTGTTCTGGTGAGCGTTACGATCCCTCTGCTGCTGTGAGTAGCCGTGGGTGTCTGCCCTGACCTGGCTTTGCTTGGAATGCCAATCTGATGAGGAGCATCTGGAGAGGACTGTGCACCCCAAAGAGTAGCAAGTAGCCCAGGTGCTTGTAAGGATAGTTGTATCACTTGTACTAGAAGGCATGCTGCTGATGTACTTCTCATTCCTTTAATGTCCTGGTGGATCACTTGCAGAAACCGTTGTGTGATGACTTCATGCAGGACGAATGGTCAGGAACAAGAGGTGGAGGGTCAGTGTCAAGGTGATACCATCAGCCGACACTCCTGCTCTGCTGCAGCCAGGCCGCAGATTTGGGAGGAACCTAGGCAGCACTGTGGCAACATCTGCACCGAGGGGACCCCGGAGGCCGGCCAGCGCCCTTCCATCCTGGCGGATCCCTGCAAGAAACACAGCTCAGCAGGAAGAACAGCAGGATGGCTTTGCAGATGGAGATGGAGAAGCCGCTGCTGCCTATTATCAGCCTCCGCCCTCACGCCGGCGTCTGCGGAAACAGGCAGCTCAAGAGGATAATAGACGGCTGCACCAAGCATGGGATGCGTGCTTTGATGACAATGTATTCAGGAACACATGTTTCCAAGCTGGTCAGCCTGCACGCCAAGCAGCACTGAAGCAGCAGCTGCAGGCAGAGTTTTTGACAGCTGCCAGAGCAGCCCTGCCCGCTTGCAGTCCATGCAGTCAGGCTGGGAGGGTGGGATCAGTGTGGGAGCAGGTGGAGACGATCAGCAGGCTTGTGTATGTCTCGATCAGCGGCAGGACAGAGGTCAGCCCCCCAGCATTCAGGTGTGGCGGGTGCAGTGCCGCCTTCACAGTCGATCCTGTGAGCATGGGATGCTTTCCTGCAACGCCACAGAGGCCGCTGGTTTACTACTCTGGAGCGCTCATGTTGCAGACGCATGAGCTCAGCCTCGCCAGCCCAACCTCAATGGTCGCCTGGACTAGCGCCCTGGAGGAGGTGCACGTCAGGAACGGCTGTGTGCCGTACGGGCAACTGAGTGGCCTGCCCAAAAATATCTGGAGGAACCTCCCAGTGGCGGTCAGACAGTGGCGCAGAATGGACATCGCCACACATGACCTCAACAGGCTTGGCGTGCAGCCCATCTGTTCGGAGGCAGGGCTCAGCGGTGACTCAGACTTGCAGCTCGGCCAGCCGCCGCCGCCCCAGGAGAACACTCAGAGGGAAGCAGCAGCGTCGTCATCGCCACCAGAAATGGAAGCAGGCAGCCTCGCGGCTCAAACTGGCAGAGATGCAGCTGAGGTGGGCCCGGCGACCCAGGAATCTCTGGACAGTCGTGCCTCCGGGGGCCCCACTGTGCAGTGTCCTTGCTGCTTTCGCACTTGCGTGGCAGCCATTGCTGACGCCTGCCTGGGACTCACGCAGCTCAGGGCGGCGGGCAAAGCCTCTGATTTCCTGCAGCCGAAGCTGCCCTATAGCCCCTTCATTGCTGATGAAGAGGTGAAGGCCTTGCTCGCTCAACGGAAGGCCTTGGACCCGGCGGCGCTGGAGCGGCCGGTCTGCTCTCAGTTCGTTGCTGCCACGCCAACCGCCTCAGACACGCAGCTGCGCCTATATGTGCAAGTGAGTCTCCTCGCATTTTTCTGGGATCTTGTTGCGCTTACTGATGTTGGCATGCATCTCATATATCCATGATTTTTTTCTCTTTTTTTCCTGGCCCCGGCTGGCAAGGGTAATACTTGGCAGCACCCTAGCGTGCCTTGCTTCAGGTGGTAAAAATACTGAATACCATGCCCACGGTTGATTGGGTCTTGCTTGGATCTGGCGAGTTCAACAAGGGGTAGGGTTATGGCAGCCTTAAATTGCAGCTCTGCAGGATGTACCTTGCTTGGCAGGAAAGCGTGTAACAAGAAGATGTGCTGGTGCTTTGGAGCCGGTCTGACACTCCCGCATGTGCTTGTGCGTAGGGCGTGGCAGCAGCAGTTTGCCGCCACGGGTATGTTCTCGTGGCGGCAAACCTGTTCACACCGGAGTGCTTTGTTTACTACGAGTTGCTCCTGCAGCGTCTGCTGAAGGAGTTCAAGCCTGAGGAGGGCAAGGATCTGAAGTACTTCTTCATTGACATTGCTTGCCAGTTTGACCCATATTGGCGAAGGTATAATCTTTCGTCCATCATGCCTGGCGTTTACGTCAAGATGTGCCCTGTACAATTATTGCATGGAACAATTTCACTCCTAGTGTCTAGTACTAGTCATGCTATGAGTGTGTGGATTCGTCGGAGTGCACAGCAGCGTCCCCTTTGAATGGTGATGTGTTGTGCTGGCAGGATGGTTCAAGGAAACGTGGAGGGTATGCCTGGCCTGGCAGTGGGGCCGTGGCATGTGAAGGCTCACATTCCGGCATGCCAAGAAAAGTATGGCGCCCGCCGCATGCTAGCGGCAGGAAACTCCTTTGGTGACAACATTGAACAGGCTTGGGCACATTACAGGAAATTTGCACACATCTTGAAGCGCATGGCGACTGCCACGCGGGAGGACTACATGACGGACCTGGTGAGTTCTCCTTTCATATGATGCAAGCTCTTGTAGCCTTGCTCGATGTTGCAGTTTGTAACCCTGTAGGTGCGAGAAGTGACAATGTTGGTCCATGTGCAGGCGATGGCTTGGCAGCGAAAAAAGGAGCGCAGGTTGCCCAAGCAGCTGCTTGAGTGGCATAGGAGGGCTGCTCGACTGCTGGCACAACTGCGGCAGTCCACGGGGGCCCTCAAGCAGGAGATTGCCCA